AAAAAAAAAAAAAAAAAAAAAAAAAAAAAAAAAAATCAGTAAAAAACTCTTTGCTTATAGAAGGTAAAAAAAAAAAGAAAGGAGAAACGTATTTCAAACGCGAGAAAACAGTGTGGTTGAACCATTAAAAGATATCGGAAAAATTCAAAAAAAAAAAAAAACACTTCAACAAAAAGCCGAGTGAAACAATTACAGCAGCAGGAACGGTAATCCACATGAGCAAATGTTGAACACCAGTCAACAACAGCCTTTCTCCTTCCTACATGAAAAAGTCGTTATACGAAACCTTTTTTCTGCATCCAATATGTTCGTCCAGTCAACCGTCCCCTACGTCCATAATCGGCTAACTAATCACAGCAATGGCATTGGCTGAAAAAAAAAAACGATAATAAATGAATAGAGAATCGTACAGACCTGTTGCTGCTGCTATCGTTAATTTGTTCAGTAACTCTTACGCTCATTCAAGTTTTAGATTACAACCAGCAGATAGCGCTAAATTACCGAAACTAATGATCAAATCTTTTGAAAGTAAAAAAAAATAAAGCGGATGACAGAGCTGAAGAAAGTAAGAAGCAATTTAAGTAGCAACAGTAGTATTAAACCCTCGAGTTTCATCCCTGCTATAAACTTTTTTCCTCTCACCTAATTTCCGAAGGCTAATAAATAGGGGAAAAAAGCGAGGTAAAATCTTTCTAAATAACTTGATCTTTCTCCAAATTTTTTTTTTTACTCAGGGAAAGAAATTGCTTTCCTTTTTTCTTTTTGGCTTTCGACAATAAACCTTCAGAAAAAAGTCTGTTGATGGCAGAGTGGGGAAGAGCAGGGAACGGAAGCGACAAACGAGTAGCATAATCAATTGATGATGGTTTGTACTAACAGAAACATTAGCGCTTTTCTCAACACACAAACACACACAGTTCTTCTGATTAATTCTGTCGTCCGTCCATTGTTCATATGTTCAGATCACCAACTTTCAGCTTTCCCCCATTTTTTTCTGCTCCTCTTTTTTTTTCTTTTTAAAAGATTGTAAACCCGATAAAAACCAATTTGAAGCAACCATAAGACAAACGTTAATTAAAAATATTAAAAATGTTGAAAAAGAAAAAAATGACAATCAGACAATCCTTTCCATTATCTTTTTTCTTTTTTATTATTAGAAACTAAACGTGTGACTTAGGATGTCTTTTTTCCACTTTTTTTTATTTTTTTTAAACTCTGCATTAAATACAGACAATAAAATGAGAGAGATTAACAAAGAAAATAAAAATAAACTTTATGCACTTTTTTTCTAAAATATTTCTCTCAATTATTTTCCGAAAAAAGTTGTTTAAATGGTCAAAAAAAAAAAGAAAAAAGTTTACAAATTTTTCGCTTTAAACCTTTGATAGTTTAAAGTTTTGTTAATGTACTTTTCAATACAAAAAATAAAAAAACTCTTTTTTCAGTTGCCTTCAAAAATGCTTTTTCTTCTCCTTTCGTTCTTTTCAAAGCTAACATAATTTTCTTTTTTGTTCTCTTCAACAACAATTGGTCGACATTTTGTCATCTTCGTCGACGATAGTAGCAACACTGACGGCGACGACTACAACAACCACGACCAGAACACCGACAGCCTTTGTTACACACCACTGAAATCGCTGTAGTTGGTTTCTTGAAGATGTAACTTAAACAAATTATCCAGAAAGATATTCAAAAAAACAATTTTTAAATATTGATAGCTTCGACAGTTTGAATAAACTTCTCATCATCATTCCTTCTCCTGCTTAAACCAGAAAAAAAAAAAAAAAAGAAGAAAACATACACACACATTCTGTAGTAGTTGTTCTTAACAATCATTTGTGAACATCGAAAAAGCAAGATTCCTATTCAAACTGGAAAAATAGTAATATTACGGTGTTGATGTTTGTTGTCCTTTTTCAAATTTAATCATTGTTGCCAACAAACTACGCTGTTCTGTCGTATATTTATAAATCAAAAAAATAAAATAAAAAAAACAGCAACAGCAAAATAATGGTGCAACAAAATGGACAGCAGTTTACAACAAAACAAAAAAAAAATATAAATCTTATGACCAGTTTTTCCCTCTCACAACTACAACAGGTTTGGATTTGTTCTT